TATGTCCATTTCTAGATAATGATTCTCTTCTGAGAGTAGGAGGCAGACTTGCCAATAGTAATCTTAATTACAACCAAAAAGTTTCCTTATGTAATGCCAAAAGATCATGTATTTACTAGATTAATTTTTCAGTATTACCATGTTAAATAATTACATCTTGGTGCTCAAGCACTATTGCATCAGGTTCGTAGTAAATTTTTGGGTTATTAATGGTCGAGATAAAAGCTCGAAAAGGTTGTACAATGAATGTGTAACAAGTTTTAAGGTTAAACCAATTGTATGTGAACAACTTATGGGAAATTTACCTGGTGAAAGAATGAAAGAGTTAATCCCAGGGTTTGTATTTAATACTTGTGGACTCGACTTTTTCTGGTCCATTCCTCATCAAGTATGAAAATCAGAGAAAGGCTAATTATGCAAAATTGTACGTTGCATAATTACCCTTTCTCTGATTTTTATACTTGATGAATTAATGTTAATGTTGCTATATTCATATGTTTAGCTACTAAAGCAATACATTTAGAGGCAGTAACTGATTTAACCACAGATTCATTACTTGCTACTATTAAAAGATTTATTGCTAGAAGTGGAAAATGTAATACCATAATGTCAGATAACGGTACTAATATGGTTGGTGCAAAATCAGAACTGAAAAAATTGCATAGTTTAGTCCCTTAAAATCTAATTCTGCTATAGCAGATTTCTTAACATCTGAAGGTATAAATTGGAAACTAATTCCACCTAGAGCACCAAATTTTGGTGGTTTATGGGAAGCAGGTATTAAGTCATTTAAATATCATCTTCAACGTACAATCAGCAGTTATAAATTAACTTTAGAAGAATTTTGAACTGTTGTCACACAGATTGAAGGTATTCTCAATTCTCGTCCAATTTTACACTTATCAACAGATGCAAATGACTTTGAAGCCTTAACGCCAGGTCATTTCTTAATTGGACGTTCCATTACTTCATATCCTGAACCAGATTTGTCTCATCTTACAGATAATAGACTGTCTAAATGGCAAGTTATTACCAAGTTCATTCAAGTTATTTGGAAACGTTGGCAAACTGATTATTTAAATCATCTACAACAACGCACCAAATGGTTATTAATAAAGAAAATTTAAAGGCAGGTATGTTAGTTGTGTTAAAGGAAGATAATCTTCCCCCATTTTAAATGGTCTTTAGCTAAGAATTCTAGAAGTTTTACCTGGTAAAGATAAATAAGGCCAGAGTTGTTTAAGTGAAAATATCAAATGGTGTGTGTATATTCGATGTATTAGTAAAATTTGTTCATTACCTATTCCAGGATAATAAAATTTACATGCTTAGTTTACATTTATTATGTACTTATCGAAAATTGTGACTTTACATTAAAAAGGGAACTTGTTTAAGAATAAGTTCGATAATAGCATAGTGAATGTTTAATGTTTTTCAAAATGATTATATTATTTTATATTATATTCATGATGAAAGGTTATCTATTAGCTTTCATATTATATTGCAGAATTAGTTATTCTTGGATTTGTTAAATTGTATGTTTGTTTGTAATTTACATGTTGAAATTTGTAATTTCAACGGGCGGCGGCATGTTAAGTTAGAATATAGCGCCACCTATGGAATAAGTAAAGAAACTCTCTCTTGGCCATCTGGATTCGGCTAAGCAACATGCCAGAGCATGTATTAGATCTGAATAGTTAATTACTGTAAATAAATTAGTTAGTTCTTTTGCTATACAGTCCACTTATTAGTTTAGAATCATAGTACAGTACTTAAAAATGAAAAAAAGACACTTGTAATAGAAATATAAGTATTCTATATGAATTAGAGAAAATACATATAAGTATAATGTAAACGTAAGTATAAGAATACTAATTTTTACTTTTTAAGTGAATTTTTACTTCCCGTTATGTTTAATATATTGTTTTCTGTGCTAACTTTAATACAAATTTATTTTCGTATATCACGTTTAACCGGTTAGTTTTAAATCCACATGCTTATTATCTGTGAATTTTTACTACCATATGCTTAATATATTGTTTTGTCTGCTAACTTGAATTTACATGCACTAAAAATCACGTTTACAAAATATAACGTTAACGGCTCGGCTCTTGGCGAGTAAAAATGCAACGGCGCCAAGGGGTTCTTTCCCGAAGTGCCAACGGGTTCTCTGCGGATGAAAACCCCATGGAAGTTATTTGGCAAAGATTGTTGGGAATGAAATTACTACTTCAAATTTTCAGATTACTATTGTTCATATTTAAAGTCTCAACTTGCAGTCTTAATCCACATAACAACCATTGTAAAAATCACCCATTATCATATTCCAAAGATCAGCAGCATACATTTTTTTAAAAATCGTGCATAATATTAAATATTGGCTTTTGATAGTCAAGTTGATACAAATAAGATGAACTGTTTTTATGATTTTAGACTAGTAGTTTATTCTTCCATTCACTTATTACAATATTTCATTTTTTATATGCTCGGCTATCCAAAATTTCAAGAGCTTTCCGGATATTTTTTTTGTTGAGTTTTTACTATACATACATTTCAGCATTTACATCGTCAAAATTGCACAGACACATACTTGAAGTGAATTTACTTTTACAGCTAAACACAGGAACTGGAAAACAAAAAAGTACTTATTCGGAGATTGTATTTCTTTTTTGTTCATGAAAATCAAAGTTCATTACACAAACATGCATTCACACTGCACAAGCATGTATGGAAATTCTTAATACATTTAGTAATCCTGATAATTGATTACGCATTTAGTAAATAAATCAGAAAATATTTTAATGTATAACAAATGAATAGTAAGTAGCTAAGCTTTTAGTTAGTAGTTAGCTTTTAGAAGTAGTTAAGCTTTTATAAAACAGAGCATAATAACACAGTTACAAAGATATTTAATATTATAAAGTTAGGTAATTTAGTAAATTTCAGTTGTTCAACAAAGCAATGAATTATGAAGTTCCTTGTATATCTTTATAAATGAACTTTATTGCTGTTTTAAGCAATTAAACAACTGTTCAAGTTATTTTAATAATTTTGAAATATATACACTAAAAGAAACAATAAAATGTATTAATCTATTTGTCGTGATTTTGGCACGAAAGTCTGCAGAATGCTTCGTAGTTTTTAAGCACATAGAGGCACTGCAATTCTTATTCCTTGATCTGAAGTTTTCTGCAAGTTTCCATTAACACAGTGCAAGTTTCCATTGCAATTTTTTTTTTTATTTAAATTGCTGTATTGGCACACATACAATTTTTGTATAGTGGCTTCAGATGTGGATAAGTTTTTCGAACACTTTCGTTTATTTTACTGGCGTCGCTGAATTTTGCGATGAAATGCAGCACATTTATTGCCTTCCAGATTTTTCATATTGTTAAGAGCGTTTAATACCCCTTTCTCATGTCGATTTTTAATAACAGATGGCGCTACGAACGTTGAGCGCTAAAGAATCAAATCTGTAAGACTACCTACAGCCCGGTTACTATGGCAACGACGCTTCCCTTTCTTTGTACTCATTTGGCGGGAAAGTGAGTAAGCCATAAAACACTTAAACACATCCCGTCAGTTGAACAAAAGGACCTGCTGTCATTTCTTCCGTCTGTGACTCAGACCACGGAGTGTTTATACTCCGTGCTCAGACTGCAGGGTATGTTTTGAACAGGAATAGAACTTTTCCACTTTTGTGTTGAATGAAACATATCTATGAGATACGTGCAGCAGTCGCTATTTCTTTTCGCAAAATTTGTTCATCACGCTTTTCAATGTTGCGTAATGTTTCATAATTAGCCGTTATTCTGCGGAAGAAAACAGTTTTTAAAAATAACTAGATTTTTAAGCATTTCGGTAATTTCATCGCGACATAAAAATTATATATAAATGAATTTATACTTGATGATATGTGTATACATACATAGCATGCACATAATATTCCATTTACTTATCCATCTATAATATTCCATAAATATGTGTTAGCACTTTCCAAAGCTTTATATATATTTTTTACTTGTATTATAAAATCGTATAACACTCCTAACTATTATTTTTTTTATTTCAAAAGTGGATAAATCATTATCAAATTTTTCTAGTACACGGCACATTATCTGAGATCCGCTTTGAATGAAAACTACATAAAGTGTTATAATGAACAATCAGTATACATCAGCAGTGAATTATTCTCCTCTTTCCTCAAATACACTACGGCGTTAAACAATAACCATTCACTAAAGATTTTGCGTAAATTCCCACTCATAATAATTTAAATTGCGAAAATCTCACAATTAGCACCTAAACACACTATTCAGTAGCACAATTCTTTCGAAAGCGCGCCGTAGTAGTCAAAAGTGGGGTAGGCTTCTTGCCAGGTGAAACTAGTCGATATTTCCGTGACGTCAAAAATTTGAAAAGTGGGGTAGGGTTTGGAAATACGCCAGCCGGCAACGCCTCAGACGAGGGAGAAAACCCGTTTAGGTTAGTCTATTTCTTATAAGGTCCATGATCTTTTCAGGCTGACGTCATAAACGGCAACCAATAAGAACAGGGGTGGTGGTTGGGGCCAGGCCAACACCTCCTTATAGAAGGTACCTATAAGGAGGTGTTGGTTTAGAGCTGGCTGTAGTCTTCTGCTGATAATCCTCTCTAGGATCTTTCCCAGTGCAGGAAGCAAGCTGATTGTTCAAAACCCATCCACTCTTGTATTATCTTTTCCGGGTTGCGGGGTTGTTCAGCGTCTGTCATTGTCAGGTCTTTAGTAATTGCTCTCCTCGCACCCCCTTTTTTCCCCTCTATTATTCTTTGGGCCATTTATTTAAAATTTTATTTTGTCTTTTCTTCCTGGCCTTTCGAACTCATACAAAATATACGAAGGTCCTTTTTACTCTCCTTTGATATCGAAATTGCCCCCTTTCTATTGATTTTTCGCCCATTGGGGCAGAAAGACTTAGTCGGTGCACAACAAGAGACCTGTCTACTTTGTCTGTCTGTCTGTTTACTTTCGAAAGGTGGGTGCACGGAGTGGTGCGTGAAATCGATGCGTTTTTTTTCTTTTTTTACATCCGTAAAAGTTCGTGGATTGAAACTAGTTTAACTGTAACATAGTAAGTATTTTTTCACATCTGGGAGATTTTCCCAGCTAGGTTTTTAAAATGTTAGATTAAAACTAGGAACATCCACATTTTTATTATTAGAAGAATTTGCATGCTTTACTGTTTGCTTTATTAACATGTATATGAGAAAATTTTTAAATATTTTATTTTTTAAGCTTAGGTATTTTTCTTTTCTTTCTTTCTTTCTTTTTATTTATGTATTTATTTTTTTGCTTGTCTGGTTGGGGGGGGGACCTTCCAATAAAGTTTTTTTTAAAAGAAGTTGTAATTTAAATTGTTGAGTAATTTATCACTATTAATATTTCGTATGTTTCCGAGCTTTGCTTTTATTCAAGCTACACCACAGTAGGATTTCATTGCATATTATGGATTTAATATAAAATGTCCAAGATGACTTTTGTGTGATGGATGTTTTTAAAATTCTTGAGTAACTTGATGTGTTGGTTGCACAACAGAAGTCGTAATGGGTTATAAATGTGCTGTTTTGATATATTTTATCCAGTGATTAATGATCATCAAAACAGATCAAAACAAAGAAATAAAGAAAAAATTCTAAGAAAAATAAAATATTCTGTGATAGATGAATAAAGGTATTGATTATTTGAAATTTGAGGCTCTTTTCCAGATCCAAATTATGGTAAAGTGCAGAATCTCGCACTTCTTGACGCGTTTTTAAGAATTGCACATACTTGGTATCCATGTGCACATTGACCTATTTTCATTTAAAAAAAAAAAAACATTGCAGAATTGCACAAAAATGGCATTGTGCACTCCCTTGACTTTATCCATGTACACATTGGGCCCACCAGCGGCCGAGCGGTAAAGTCGCTGAACACTGGTAGTTCGGTCCGAGGTACGAATCCCGCGAACGGGCTGGCTGCATGGGTGTTTTCGTGGTTTTCCCCATGTGTAACGTGTATACGAGCCAGTTTCCCTTAAAAAGTCCTCCACGAAAGGCATCCCTCCCCTTAGGCAGATAGCCCTAGTGTGCTTTGCCATAATTAAATACACCAAACACCATGTACACATTGACCTATTTTCGGAAGCACTTCCGCAGAGAACCCGGTAAATGTAAACATCGCCAAATTTGGCGATAATAGTTCAAACCTGGTAACCTAGCTAATTCATCATATTCGCTTGTGCGAAGGTTGCCGTACGCATTTGGAGATTCATATTATTCTTCTCCTATTTATTATTATTTTTTCTGAATTTTTTTGAACAACGAACAACAATATTTTCGCATAATTAAAGAAGTTTTCGTCGAAATATGTCGATTCTCGGCTCGTCAGCTCGGGATCAAAGGAAGAAAATATGGCAGGAGGGGTGATTGCTAATTTATAACATGGCTGTTCACGTTATGTTCGTAATTATTAACAGCTGTAAGCACGCAGAACCATGAGTTTTCCAACCCCTATAATAATTTTAAAATGTATAAAGTTCTAGTTTTATCAACAATGCTACTGAAGAAAATTTGAAATTGCTTGTATTGTATTGTGAAATATATTATGAAAAAGGACAGGTATTTGTTTCAACGTAAAATGCTATGAGCTGTATGCAAGTAGCTTGAAAAAAAAAAAAAAAAAAAAAAAAAAAAAAACTGAAAAGTATGTAAAACGGATGTATTAAAGGTAATGCATTCATTAATTTATTACATGGGCATGGCTCTTACCGAAATAAATCAATCAACAGGCAAAGTACTTAATAATGAAAAAATACACTTGTAATAGAAATATTAGTATTCTATATTAATTAGAGAAAATACATATAAGTATAATAATGTAAACGTAAGTATAAGAATACTAATTTTTATTTTTTATAAATGAATTTTTACTTTCCGTTATGTTTAATACATTGTTTTCTATGCTAACTTAAATTTAATACAACTTTATTTTCGTATATCACGTTTAACCTGTTATTTTTACATCTACATACTTATTATCTGTGAATTTTTACTACCATTGTTTGCTAACTTGAATTTACATACACTGAAAACCACGTTTACAAAATATCGCGTTCGATGAGCCGCAAGCTTGGAGAGTAAAAATGCAACGGCGCCAACGGGTTCTCTGCAGATGAAAACCCCTATTTTCACTTAAAAAGTCAAAGAAAATTGACAAAAAGGCAATTCTTCTTACTCTTGTAAAAAAGCGCCGGCTGATCTTTAGAATATGGTACAGCCAAAAGTCGTTAATCCGGACTCGTCGGGACTTCGGTGATTCCGGATTATCGATTTTCCGGAATATAGATCATCAGTTTAAATCTCGTAAGATGGCATGCAGAAATTCTAAAATTAAAAATATGAAACCGTAATTTATGAAATAAAGAACAATTATGATCTAAAGGGTATTAAAATTTGCAAAAAGAAAAAGCTTAATATTTATTTGTTTACTTTATTAAACATTTCTTTCAATGTAAGTTGCTTCGTTTCATGTGATAATACTTTCTCTTTAATTCTATTAAACAGACATAATTTCTTGTTCAGTTACAAAGTTCCGCCGTTCAAGTCCTATAATTGCTGTGTCAAGAACACCGACTAATTTGTCAATCGAAATTTTTTTGTTTTCAATAACCTCTGTCACTTTTCTTCGCTATCGGAAGCGAATTATAATGACGAGGAACTTGTTTTAAATCATATCAAAGCCCGAGCATATCGAGATGAAATACTACATTTGGTAAGGAATTATAAGCCAAATAAAATAAAAACATCTGCGCTGAAGATAAGGATAGTGCTGACAAATCAACTTCCAATTCATTACGCGCCCGCCGCCGAGCAGCGTGAAATTGATAAACAGATTTCGGCTTTCAAAACATACTTTCGCTTTAGATCCTTTACATATTAACAAATATATATCGGAAATTCTATTTGATATAATCGAAAGTTTAAGCTTACTTTTATAAAATTGCTCTTACAGTCTGCAAAAAATAATAAGCCGGGTGCAATTCGAAAATTAAGGAACAATGCAATCATCAACATTAACTGAAATAGATAATTATTTAGCTTATACGTCCATTATACATAAAATGCGCACGCGAAAACGTATTCTGCACTTGCGCACACTCATATGCGCAGTCGTAAAAGGTCTTACGCGCACGCGTGATCGCCTCTGCGCATGTGTCAACGCGGCGCATGCGCAGAAAGTTTTTAGTTTTGATGTCCGGATTATAGATCATTCCGAATTATGGGTGTCCGAATTAACGACTTTTGACTGTAACTGGTAGTTTGGCGACAGTTTGAAGGCGATAAAGGTTACTACCTGGGACTTTGGTAATAATGTGAGCAGTACTCAGTTCCGATTACACATTATTTTGTGTGAGGGAAACTAGAGATCTTGGGATATGTCATGTGATATTAATGGACAAATTACGGTTCTTTAATCGGAAAAGGGGGGAATTTGGAAAAATATCTGTGGCTGTATATTATTTTGTATTAAGCTTCATTGTGTGTTGTGTGAAGTAGGGTTGAATAATTTTGGGATTGTATGGCGCTGTCTAAAGTGAATTCTAGATTTTAATGCGTTTGTGTGTGATAATCAAAAGAATTGGTTGAATGGTGCATGACTGTAGGTTTAATTGCAGATAAGTATGAATGTCCAAAATGTGGGAATGAAATGAGATTGTGTGAAAGGAAGGATATTACTGATAAGTTTGAATGGCGGTGCAAGAAATTTGGTGAAAATGGACATTTTGTGAAATGGAGTGTAAGGAAGGGTACATGGTTTTAATTATAATTTTATTGAATCCATAATAAAAGTGTATCCACCATGTAAGCAAGATTTTGAAGAAGATTGGGTAAGTTAGTATTTTTAATTATTTGAGGATATTATTTTTATGCATTGTTCTAAATGTAAGGTGGAAGTAAAGTAATTTGGTATTATTGGAAAAATAGTTATTAGCAATGATTTAGTTTAAAGTAATTAGGATTGTAAGCTAATTTTTATTAATTTAATGTATGTGCTTATTTATATTTTAAGTAGTGTTTTTGAATTTAATTATATTTTAATTAAATGATAGTTATTTTGTGAATTTTATGTTTGTAGGAATTTGGTATATGTTTTAGTTGAAGTAAACGTGCATGGAAATAATTTAAATATTTGGCACTAAGTATTTGTAATGTTTGCGGTATGAATTCGTTGGTGATGTTTATAATATAATAGATGATTTAGAGGTAAAAGTTTTTGGATATTTTATATTTTATTTATATGTGGATATGTTGGAAAAGGGTATATACTTTTTCGCGATCAGATAATTTCATATATGTTCTTTTTACCGGGTTTAAAGATTCATAAAATTGTCATGTATTTTCGTGAAATTTTTCTAATTTATGAGAAAAAAGCAGTGTACATGGATATAGTGAAGAGTGTGCGCAATGCCATTTTTGTGCAATTCTGGGATGTTTTTTTAAGTAAAAATAACTCGGCGTGTACATGGTTTATGTGTATGTGTTATTTTGAAAAATGCGTAAGGAGTATGGTATTGTGCACTTTTTCCCAATTTTGCAGTGAATATTTGTCATGATTAAGCAGTTTTGTTAGATAAAATTTCTAGCATAAGTGTAATTCGGCTAGTAGATTGTTGGAAGAAGTGTTCAGTAGATAAAAAGAAAAGAAACATGTCTTTACTTCGTGAAGACAAAATGGCGGCGGGAAAAAAAAAAATAGAGTGTTGCTGTAGGAGAGTTGGTCGCGAAATTTTCGCCAAAAAATCGCCAAGTTACCATAATCTAAAGATCAACCAAAGCGCCAAACAAATAAGTAAGCGATTCTGCACTTTAACCCAAAATTATACAAAAATTTGAATTTATTTAAATTCAGATTAAACAAGTTATTTTAACATTATGTTAAATATAAAAATCGAAGGAAATTTCAGTGAATTTAGAATTTGTTAATGCAAATAGTACAGAAATACATGAAATTGTAGAGTTTAATATAATAAATTTTATTCTATAAAATTTTTAGTTATAGTGTGTGCATCATATGGGATTATACCTTGAT